TTAATATATATATATATATATATATATATATATATATATATATATATATATATATATATATATATTATATATATATATATATATATATATATACATACATATATATATATATATATATGTATGCATATGTAACGTTAATCTGGCTTGTAAAACATATACTTAACGGAATCATTGAATTCATATCTATAAATATGTAGCGTCAATCTGGCTTGTAAACACCAACTTAACGGAATCATCTACACAATTGTATATACTAATCACAATCCCCACGTCCTGGTCTTGCAGTGTTACGCACCGTTTGGTCTGGGCCATGTGGACTTCTGCGCTGTGCCAATGGACCAAACACCCGTCCACGTGTTTGTGCCCGACGCGTGCGCTCTACCGAATCTGCAGCCCAAAACGTTTATGGGTCGAAAGATTCTACTAGTAGGAGACTCAGTCACAAGGTATGCTATCACTAGGAAGGTGTGTGTGTGGGTGTTTTTTAATGTTTGTACTTGTATGTATGTTTCCTTGTGCATCTATTTGTATGTGTGTTGTGTGTGTGTTCTCATATGTATGCAAATGCACATGTTTGCGGTTAGAATAAAATTGGAGTGAAAAGGCGTACGCTGCCCAATCTGTAACCTAAATCATTCCTAGATGGAAAGGTACTGCTAGTTGGAGATCTGGCCACTAAGCGGTTACACAATCCGAGAATCGATCACTGGTAGTGTATGTGTATATGTGTGCCTGTGTGTAGACGTATAAAAGGAGTCTCACTCACACAGTTTCATATATGTCGAGCTCATTTGCCCACAGAGCTTTGACCGTGTATTTTATTTTACTAGTAAGAACGAAACACCCCATCTGACTATGCTTGCGCGCGTGACAGATAGTGTAGAATGGCTGAAACAGTAGAATATGATTGCCACAGATATATACAGGCATATATTTTACCACAGATATATACAGGTATATATTCATAAATACATACATACGTACATACATGCATACATACATATACACACACATATACATACATACATACATATATCCATACTTACATACATACATATATACATACATACATGCATACATACATACATACATACATACATACATACATACATACAACATACATACATACATACATACATGCATACATATATACATACATACATACATACATACATACATACATACACACACACATACATACATACCTACATATATACATACATACATACCGACATACATACAGACATACATACATACCTACATACATACAAACATACATACATACATACATGCATACTAGTATGACGTGACTGGCTGCTATACTCTAAACCCAAAACCCTATTAAACCCTAAAAACCTAAAACCCTATCCCCTCCATCACCCGCAGGGCCTTTGCCATAGGCTTGATCGCTTCTCTCTCGAATGTGTGGGGCTTCCCATACGACGTGACTGGTGCTGTGCGTCTAGAGAAGGTGCTGAGCTCATTCTGCGTGGGATGGCGTAAGCAGGCGGCGATGGTGTGTTGGATCACCCTCAAGAAAGAATCAGCCGGTCTTCAGCTGAGCAGAGCTATGCGTGTGGGCCAGAGAGACGATGTTGTGGCGTTCAATATAGGTAAGGTTTGACGGGGGGCTGGGTGGGCCGGGTTGGTAGGTATGACTGTGTGGTCTTTCTATGGTAGGTATGGCTTTGTGGTCTTTCTATGGTAGGTATGACTGTGTGGTCTTTCTTTGATAGGTATGACTGTGTTGTCTTTATTTGGTAGGTATGACTGTGTGATCTTTCTTTGGTAGGTATGGCTGTGTGGTCTTCTATGGTAGGTATGGCTGTGTGGTCTTCTATGGTAGGTATGGCTGTGTTGTCTTTATTTGGTAGGCATGACTGTGTGGTCTTTCTTTGATAGGTATGGCTGTGTGGTCTTTCTATAGTAGGTATGTCTGTGTTGTCTTTATTTGGTAGGTATGACTGTGTGGTCTTTCTTTGATAGGTATGGCTGTGTTGTCTTTCTATGGTAGGTATGGCTGTGTTGTCTTTATTTGGTAGGTATGACTGTGGGGTCTTTCTTTGATAGGTATGGCTGTGTTGTCTTCCTATGGTAGGTATGGCAGTGTTGTCTTTCTTTGGTAGGTATGACTGTGTGGTCTTTGGTATGTATGGCTTTGTGGTCTTTCCTTGGTAGGTATGGCTGTGTGGTCTTTCTTTGGTAACTATGGCTGTGCGGTTATTTTTTTTGCTATGGCAACTCGGCTACCTCTTAGATCAGCACTTGCGAGTGTGACTTTGTAGGCCGATATCGTGGCTTTCGATATAGGCAATTTTGGCCGGGAGTTGGTTTTGTATGTAAGGTTGTGCGGTCTCGTACATATTCAATGTGAATACGGTTATAGGTATGACCGTAGGAAGGCAATGTAGGTAGGTTATGATTATGTGACCATATGTAGCCAATGTAGGTAGGTTGCAGATGTAGTTGTCTGGCCCTGAAGCCCTGAAACCCTAGAACCCTAAATTCTGATTAGTACTCTGTATCTGTCTGTAGGGTTGCACTACCGTGAGAAGGAGGGAGGATTGCGAGACTCGCTAGAAGAAGTTAAGAATACTCTACGTGGAACAGAACCGTAAGTGGACGTGTTATGTTAAATTATATGTATTATATATACTATACAATCATACATTATATATAAGTATATATGCCATATATTCATACACTATAGACGTGTATATACTATACAATGAAACTCTATATGTAAGTGCATATACTATTTAATGATACACAATAATGATACTCTATATATAAGTATATATACTATATAATGAACATTATATAGAAGTGTGTATACTATTTAATGATGCACTATATATATACTGATACTATATATATATATATACATTATATATAAGTATATAAACTAAATAATGAAACTCTATATATAAGTATATAGACTATATAATGGTATTCTATATCAGTATATATACTAAATTATGATACGGTATTTATAAGTATATATACCATATAATAATGCGCTATATATAAGTGTATATACAAAATAATGCTATACTATATAGGAGTGTAATACTCTCTCGTATACACGCCTATTCTTTTATTTAAATAATACCTACCTTACCAGAGGGCAGCCAAAGACCTTCTCGCCGTCACAGTCTGGTACGGGCAGTTCTACGCCTCTGGTGGCGTACATGGAGACTACACCACAGTGGTTTCATCGAGGTTACTACACGCAGAAGCAATGGCAGGTTAACGCAATCGACTTCATGACAGATGGCGAGTATGACCGGTGCCATATACTGAATAGGACGGTATGTGAGAATACGTATATTATGTATACAACGTATATTACGTATACTACGTATACTACGTATCGGTATACGTTTTTGCTCGGAAGTACGTTTAGGGTGTGAGTGTAGTACGACCGCTGTCGTGTGTTTAATAAGACGGTATGAAAAACTACGTGTAATGATACGTTATTTGCTCGGTAGTACGTTTACTGTGTGAGAGTGTGCTACACCCAGAACGCGTGGCACGTGCTTCAGTAAACATGTCTTGTTACACCAACTGATTGGGCAGCAATAACTCCTACGTATATTTAGTATGCGAGAGCGTGGTGCCAATCACCTGTGCCTGGTAGTTTGGGATTGTCTGTGTAGTCAGAGTCTCAGGGATGTGTGTCGGCTGCTATGACTCGTATGTTGGGAGAAGTATCTCACATCTCGCCTAAACCAACACCTTAAATACGAAATCTTAACCCTAAACCCTAAAATATGATATGGTTCTTGTTACGCAAGGGACCGATGGGCGCGCTTGCAAATCACTTTCGCCAGCTACAGTGTGATACAACGTGACACCAGTTATATACCGCACACACACTCAACACTCCACATTCCACACTCAACACTCAACACTCAACAATCTAGTCTCAACACTCAACAGCCAGCGAACTCAACAGTTAACAGTGTGAGGCATCAGTAGCACATACAATGAGAGCATGAGGAATTAATTTATCACAAATGAGAGTATGTGGATTAAATATACCACAAGTGAGAGTATATGGACTAAATATAATACAAGTGAGAGTATATGGACTAAATATACAACAAATGAGAGTCTGTGGATTTTCTATAACACAAGTGAGAGTATATGGATTATCTATAACACAAATATGAGTATATGGAATAAAGATCACACAAGTGAGAGCATGAGGAATCAATCTAACACAAATGAGAGCATTAAATCTATAAGGCGTGTGCATGCACACGCACAAGTGAGAGCGTGAGGCACAAATATATCCCGTACCTTCACAGAGCCGACAGTGTGCATAAGTCACTAACATCTCTCTCTCTCTCTCTTTCTCTTTCTCTCTCTCTCGCTCGCCGGCATGGCTATAAATAGATTACTCCAGGGTTGCATCCACTGGCCAATCAGTTCAACGATCAGACTCTTCCGGTCATGCGGGGGCTGCACAAGCAGCAGCTTGTGGCTATGGTTCCTCTGTGGCATGCCTTTGCAATGCTACCACCTGTCGGTATGTGTGTGTGTGTATTTACTATGACTAACTCTTAAGACCTAAAGCCCTGGCCCATCCCATTCGGGGTAGTACATGTATGTATGTGTGGGCGAGTACGTAAACGGTGCATGTGTCGGTATGTATATGACATAGGTTTTGTACGAATATGTATGCACGAGCTAGTACATATATGTACATATAGGTTACTACTATGTATACGTATGTGTGCGTTGGTGAAATTATTTATGTATGTATACAATTGTACATATATGTATATATGCGTTAGTATTTATATTATGCATATATGTGTTTATACGTATTTGTATGTATACGTTAGTACGTATACATATATCTGCGTAGGTACGTATATGTATATATGCGTTAGTATGTATGTTATGCATATATGTGATACGTTGATACTTATATGTATGTATACGTTATTACGTCTACATATATCTGCGTAGGTACGTATATGTATATATGCGTTAGTATGTATATTTTGCATATATGCGTTTATACGTATATACATGTATACGTTAGAACGTATACACATGTCTGCTTAGTACGTATATGTATGTACGCGTTAGTGCAAATAGCATTTATGTATTAGTAGAGTACATGTATATGTGTATGCATTAGACGTATATATATGTATGTGTACGTTAGTACGTATATGTATATATGCGATAGTGCGTATCTACATACACGGGTTAGTACGTATACGTATTAATTCGATAGTACGAATATACATCTAAATGTTAGTTAGTATATGTATATGTGCGATAGTATGTACATGTATATATATCACCTGTCGAATTGCAACGTTGTAGCCTGTCCCATACATTTACGTATATGTCTGCCACCTGAATTTACCTCAGTTTCCCACTGTTCCAATCTCAGCCCTCCAGATGTATTGGTGTGTGACTAGAATTTAAACATATAGTGGTTGGAGTATACGTAAACATCTCTTTCTTTTGTACTTATCTCATACCCTCCAGATGTACTGGGACGACGTCCGAACGATGACAAGCTGGATTGCACGCACAGCTGTCTATTGCGGGAGAGACACATATACCGTATACAGATGCTGCAGGTGTGTATGTATCAGTGTTGACGGTATACACACACACACACACACACACACACACACACACACACATATATATATATATATCTATATATACATATACATAAATACATATATATATATATGAATATATATATATATATACATATATATATATATATATATATATATACACACACACACACACACACACATATATATATATGTGTGTGTGTACGTGGATGTGTTCAATGTGGGTGATAATATGTATGAGTATCCATGTCTTTGTGTCATAGATCCTGCCAGTTATAGTAACATCGCAAGTAAAGATATCTGTAGGAGCAATATTTGTGGCCTTTTCGTAGTACGAAATGTCACTCAATAGAATAGTATCTGACATTGGGTAAGGCCCACACATCCGTTTCTTTGAAGTACCAACCACACACTGACACCGTACACATATACATATACAGGTGCATATGTATATACATATAATGTGCATATACAAATATATACACATTACACACGTACATGATATACATATACAGATATACGTATACACATACATATGCATATACATATTCATAAACATACACATATACATATACTTATACACATACATAAAAATAAATATACGCAGATACATATACATATACATATAGATACACATACACACTTACATATTATATCTACATATACATATACATATAGAAGAAACTTTTCGCATGCGTACGTTTTGAAATATACACACACACAAACACGCACACACACACGC